AAAGAGAAATGTAAGAAGTAATGAGGAAAAAGGAGTAAAGAAAAATCGGTCATTGTTGTGCATACTTTGTTGTTTTCTTCGATCACATAAAAAATAATGTGGTCTATCATCGTCCTATTTCTCATCATGTCCATTTCATCTGTAAAAGGTTTGTTAGATTATCTTTTTTCATTTGATTCTATCATAATATAAATGAATTCCATAGGACAAACGACACAGTTACCTGATTATTCTTGTAGTGAAAATGATGTTTCTATTCAGTTTATATTATCTTCATCATCCCATTCAGCATGGAATTCAACATCAAATTGCTCTTTACAACAATGTAATACAAGCTTGAATGGTAACAATAATTGTCTTTCATCATCAACACCTTGTTTTGATTATCGAACAATAAATAATATTAGTTATTGTGCACCTGGTATTTTATGTTCAATATTAGAAACATGTGATAATAGTACACAAACATGTTCATCAAATAATTCAGTGTGCGTTATTAATTCATGTTGTTCATCACAAGCAGTATGCTTACCATTTTTAGCAACACAAATGTGTAAAACAGGTACTAATACATATACGCTTTAAACTTCACCACACTCAACTAGAACAATTTATTTTATTCATAGTTGTAGATAAAGTATCATTCATTTATATAAAACTTCTGTCGGTCGATACTTTTTTGATTGTGAAAATTAATGTAATATATAGACTAAGATATATTTGTGATATTCATTGTTAACTAATACGAGAAACGTATGAGAGATGAAGAGCTGAACTGTGCCGAAGTTTTCATTTTAGTCAGTGAATGATACATTAGTAGAAGTTGATATATGATTTAATTGGTACAATAAGGGATATAGTTTCATATTAAATCAATATTGTTTGGTTTTTATGTTGAAGCTGAAATATTTTGTATATGAAACAAACTTTTATGTTTACATTTGTTGCATTAAATGACAAAATAATATGTATGAGCAGATTGGAGTATACAAATCGTCATAAGAGATCATTTCAAGTAAAATTTATATTTTGCTTGATTTCATATTCTTAGTTATACCTCTCTTTTCTAATGCTGTCGTTGTTGTAGTAGTGGTAATTTATAGTTATGTTAGATGTAGTTTAAGGGACAATATTAATTATCAATATTATAGTTATTGTAAGATAGGTAAATCATCTGCGATTAAATTTAGCAATAGCATACACATGAATGTAAATCAGTTTTGATAGAGAATATAAGATTATCATTCTATGATCAATAACTACCTCATATATTTTGTCTTGGTTGATGAGATGATCGACTGAACTATACAATTAGACATTAAATACTATCTTTATCTTTAGATTAATCTTTTATCTCATGTTTGAAATATTTGTATAGGTTTGTTTTTTTATGTGATAGTATCCATTACATAAGGAGATGTGAATAGTGGATTTACGAAAAGTTGTTTTTGTGCTAGTAAATTTAAGCTGAATATCTAATCAGATATGAAACACCATTGAGAATAAGGTCGAAAAGAAATAAATCGGTGAATTCGTATGAAATAATGGAGAACTGTCAATAATCTCATAGGGAATTATCAGAAACTTCGGGATTAATCACTCATTTTATCATTAGTCCATGCTTTATATCAGTTCCAGTGATGAATGCTATACAGTTCATTTATCATTTATACAGAGATCATTAAAAAGAAAATATCGCGAATAATTCATTTTGTTAATTGTCATATTCACAGAACAATGGGAAAGTTGATGCAAAGTTCATGTTTTTTATTCTATTGGATAACTTTTGGTCAAAACTAGTAAACTTCGTCGAGAACCGAAAAACACATCAGTCTGTGTAACTATTACTGTGGTTAATTTGAGACAAACATCTTTTATATAACTGATTGAGATAGCAGAGGAAATAGAAAATATATAAAACCGGAGATGTCATTTAGATATATGAAGTGATTTTGTGAAATACATTTGACTACTATTCTCAGTCTGTATAAGTTTAAGGTGATATAAAACAGACATATCAAAGACTCATTTTTTTGAATAATGATAAATACTGCACAAGAACAATGAATGTTGATTGTTTGATTGTATAGTCTAAATATATAAAAATATACCTTCTAGGATGGTCCTATACGAATAATATGAGTGTTGCACGAGGATGGCACACAGCATCTGTACTATCAAATGGAAAAGTATTAGTTACTGGTGGATTAGGCAATGTTTATATTTATTTAAATAGTGCTGAGTTATATGATCCATTAACAGGTGCTTGGGCAGTTACTGGTAACATGACTAATTCACGACGATGGCATACATCATCTTTATTATCAGATGGAAAAGTATTAGTTACTGGTGGATACTATGCTGGTGGTTTAAATAGTGCTGAACTGTATGATCTATCAACAGGTATTTGGACAGCTACTGGTAATATGACTAATAAACGATTATATCACACAGCATCTGTATTAGCAAATGGAAAAGTATTAGTTACTGGTGGATATGGTAACACTGGTTATTCAAATAGTGCTGAGCTGTACGATCCATCAACTGGTATTTGGACAACTACTGGTAATATGAGTAATGCACGAGAGTATCACACAGCATCTGTATTATCAAATGGAAAAGTATTAGTAACTGGTGGAGCTCCAAGCAATAGTGCTGAGCTGTATGATCCATCAACAGGTATTTGGACAACTACTGGTAACATGAGTAATGCACGACAATGGCACACAGCATCAGTATTATCAAATGGAAAAGTATTAGTTACCGGTGGTATGGAATCTGGTTATACTGTTTTAAATAGTGCTGAACTGTATGATCCATCAACAAGTATTTGGACAATTACTAGCGACATGACTAATGCACGAGAATATCATACAGCATCTGTATTATCAAATGGAAAAGTATTAGTTACTGGTGGATGGAATGGTAATGGTGTATTAAATAGTGCCGAACTGTATGATCCATTAACAACTACTTGGACAATTACTGGCAATATGACTGACACACGAGAATATCACACAGCATCTGTATTGTCAGATGGGCTAGTATTAGTTACTGGCGGATTCAATGGTGCTAGTGATTTAAATAGTACAGAATTATATTAATTATTTCAAACAAATTAACTTTCAGTTATCTAACTCTTTGTCTTGCAAGTAATGCAAATACCTAACAAAACTTTAGTCAGAAGATATATTATTTTATGACATTCGCTAATTGTTTCCTTCGGAATTTATACTGAATTGTCATACTGTAATATTTGATCCCAAATAAAAAAACAAAATTTTTTTTTCTGTTCTTATAGTTTATTATGATTAACAAAACTTACAACAGATACGATAACTTTAATTATCCTTTGAAATATGCTCTCTTAGTTTACAATGTTATTTTTCATAATATTCAATTGCTTTGACAGCATATTCATCGGATTTAGAATACATGATCATTGAAACACTTCAGTTACGAAAAGACCTTAAAGTAAATTCATGAATGCCAAAGATGAACATATCTGTATATAACAACAACAAATAATCGAAAACAAATCTATAATCATATCAGATATACGAACTAATGAAGTAAACAAAATACTTACATTCAACTTACCTTATTTGTATATGAATATCTCTTTTAATGAAAGAGAATCAACAATGAGACAGTTTCTATTTAATATTTCTCTGCGATTGGTAATTCTATCATTGTTAGTCTTAAATTTATCAATTCAGGCGACTCCAAAAAAGTCTTGAGGGTATGGATGTGAGTGTGGATATCCGGATTTGATAAGAAGAACACCCACACCCTAAATTCTTATGATATACTTTGCACAATTACAAAAATAAGCTCATAACAGATGAGTGTTCATCATCAGAAGATCATTTCTCGTTCTTTTTTTGATAAAATAAACTTCCATGTCATTAATTATAACTAAACCTACTGAACAATTGTTTCTTTTAACTAAGAATTTTACTGCTTCTGAATTTAAAGATAAAGATCTACTCTTTATTTTTCCATTACAATAAATTAAAAAAATGAGAAATAAACTCGTTCTCCAGGAATTACTGTCAATAACATTAACTAAATTAGTTTCAGATTTGATGATTTTATTTAAAATATTTTTTACTCTGCGTAATAATGATGCTTTTCAAAAAATAACAGTCATATAAAAAAGAAGAACATAAATTAATGAAAAGAGTATGAAAATAACAACTAAATCACTTATTTACTTTTTAATAAATGTGTACAATGAATGAATTTCTATAGGAAAACGATCAAGTAAACATGAATCTGTCCTAGAGATACTTTCTTTTACTTTCATTAATCAAAACAAGATCACATAACTCATACTATATTAAAGCTCGATTGAAGAAATATTACAATTTTGGTTGTAATGAAAGAACAGAAATCTTGAGGGTGTGAGTTTGACTACTGTCATGATTACCCACACACACACCCTATTCGAACATTTTCGACCGAACTCAATCACTCTAAGAGCCTCAAAACATTCGTTACCGACCCAGAGTCTGTTGATTCCACCTTGTAGAAAAGGTATATTTTGGACTATGATATAGACCAAATGAAAAAATGAATACTAAGATAAGAATATAACAGCATCTTTGATGTTGAAGATAATATTAGTTATCTTCTGTTACTTACCTGAGAGTAATAGGCAAACAGAAAGTAGCTTCGAACAATAGTGTGTTCTTTTTTTGAGTTTAAGTTTCATCTAAGACATAATATGCACACCAATCAAGTTTATAGAGAACGTGTTACTGTAAATAATGGATCACACAAATGGTGGCACCACCGTTGGTTCAAAATAATCGGCATTTTCGCTATTATTTTAATAGTTTTTGCTGTTCTTCTTGCTTTGTTGTTAAACTTCATCATCTTGGCGCCGGATAAATCAGAAACTAGTACTACTCCCGCAACATCATCATCACCACCAACAACAACTACAACCACAACTAAGCAGTCGGGTACGTTGTAGAGTTAAGTTTTCTGGTCTCCTTAAATAGTACTTTTAAATCAGATATAAGTAGTTGCTTTACATCCAACACTTTTTTGTATCTAGCTAAAAGTTACATTTAAAGAGTAGTGATCTTGTCATGAGTGATTCAATCTTTATCTTAAGAAGAAACGAAGATGCAACAATCCCCATACTCGCTATTTTTTATCACAATCAAAGCTCATATAGTTTTGTTGACATCGATACAATGAAATCTGCTTTTTTTTCTTTGTTTCTTATCATCACATACCCTACTTTTAAGTATAAAGAGAACAAGAAAAAACTATTGTGCTTCAAAGAAGCCTACGCATATCTGTCGCGTGGAAATATAAATAGCTGTATTTGCGTATTATCAATTAGTTAGTCCGTCACCTTTGATTCATTCTTCTGCTCTTTGGATTAGCCAGAGTCCAAGTTTCGGACACAGTTTCCAACTTCAAAAATTGGTCAGAGACGAGCCGCAAAAATAAAGGAAAGTGTAAAATACACACTTTTTTATATGTCATCCTCGCGTACGATTCTTTATTGAAAAATTCGAAATTGATTTTCGTACTGTATCAAGAATGATTTTCATTTTACGAAACCTAAAACTATTCGCACATGATTTCATCATTTGGAGAGTTTCACAAGAGACAGTCTTTCGAGGATGAAAACTATCAAATGTTTCTGTTTAGAATGGTCTGTTACCGGTAATATGAATAATGTACGACGAGACCACACAGCATCTGTATTATTAAATGGAAAAGTATTAATTACTGGTGGAGAAGGCATTAATAATATTATTTTGAATAGTGCTGAACTGTATGATCCATCGACAGGTACTTGGACAACTACTAGTAACATCACTAATGCACGATATGATTACACAGCATCCGTATTATTAAATGGAAAAGTATTAGTTATAGGTGGCGAAGGCATTAATAATAATGCTTTAAATACTGCTGAATTATATGATCCATCAACTGGTACATGGACAACTACTAGTAACTTGACTGATGCACGAGAGTGGCACACCGCATCTGTATTATTAAATGGAAAAGTATTAGTTACTGGTGGAATTGTAGGCAATAGTGCTGAGTTGTATGATCCATCAACAGGTATTTGGACAGCTACTGGTAACATGATTTATGAACGAGCACATCATACAGCATCTGTATTATCAAACGGAAAAGTATTAGTTACTGGTGGCGGCCTCATTAATTATTTAAATAGTGCTGAACTGTATGATCCGTCAACAGGTACATGGGCAACTACTGGCAACATGACTAATATACGAGTTTACCATACAGCATCTGTATTATTAAATGGAAAAGTATTAGTTACTGGTGGAGACGACATTAATAATATTGTTTTAAATAGTGCTGAGTTGTATGATCCATCAACAGGTACTTGGACAACTGTCGGTAACATGGCTAATGCACGATATACTCACACAGCATCTGTATTATTAAATGGAAAAGTATTAGTTACTGGTGGATACAACGGTTATTATTTAGATAGTTCTGAATTGTATGACCCATCAACAAGTACTTGGACAACTACTAGTAACATGACTAATACACGATCTGATCACACAGCATCTGTATTATCAAATGGACTAGTGTTAGTTACTGGTGGATTCGATGGCTCTAGTGTTATAAATAGTGCAGAATTATATCAATGAATTCAAGCAAATTAACTTTCAATGATTTTATTCTTTTTCTTGCAAGTAGTTCAAATTCTAAACAACATTTTAGTTAGAAGAATTATCATTATATCACGTCCGCGAACTGTTTCCTTCCATATTTTTATTGAATTATCACACACTTTTATATTCCATCCGAAATAAAAAAGAATATTTTTGTGTTTTTACTCTTGTAGATTAATTCATTAGGATTAACAAAAGTTCTGTTAATTTTATAGTGTGGTTTTTTATAATATTTAATTATTTTGATAGTATTCATCGGATTTAGAATGTATGATCAGTGACATATTTCACTAACTAAAAAACGTCGATGTACGTTCATGAATGATACACAGGAACATACCTGTAAATAACAACAACAGATAATCTAAAACAAAATCTATAATAATAACAGATATATGAACTAATGAGGATGAAGATATTGAATGTATTTTAAAGAAAGAGAATCAACAATAAGACAATTTCTATTTAATATTTCTTTGCAATAAGTAATTATCTCATTATTAGTCTTAAATTCATCGATGCAAGCCACTCCAAAAAAATCAAATTGAGTAGGGCAGATATCTATTAAGAAGTTCTGTGGAAATATAAAGACAAAACTGTACACAGATCTACTTTTTCTTCATCATTTTCATTTATTTCACAAAGTATAGAGCTATTCAACTATGTCTTGAATCCTTGGATTATGATTTTTTTATTTTTCGTTCCAAAACAATCTCGAATAAATTTTATTAGCCCATAAAAGTATTCAGAAATATTTCAGAGTATAATAGTCTTCAAAACAGCCTGTCACACTGATGACGTCTATTGATATGCATTTTTTCACATCTGCTTGTTTTACTACAAACTATACAAGATCTTCATGCAATAGTTCCTGTTGGATTTTATGAGAATCATTATTTATACTAGAGAACGCATTGAAAAAGAAAAGAAAGACAATACATCAGAATATACTAGAACGAAGTAGAATCTGAGAAGCAGGCACGTCAGAACGTAAGGGAGAGCACATGAAAGCGTACATAACTATAGGGGACGATGACGTAATAATGTTGCCAATATAAGAGAAAAAGAGAAGAGTCTTTTCGATGGAGCGTAAATAATATTATAATGATGATAACATGTGCAAAATTTCGACACGCATATATGTGTGCTCCGTAACCAAAGGGTTAGTTCGTATTGATATGAACTTTTTGAAATATGTTCTTCATTTTCTATTTTTTTTGTGTTTAATATAATAAAACTTTGTGAACTAATCGTCTGATTTCATTATCTGCTAATTAGTTTTGAACTATGAATCAGATCATAATATTTTGATAACGTTTCTGCTCATCGTTCATCAATTTTCATCTTATTCGAATTCCAGTTAGAAGACAATAATCTTCCTTCTACAATAGTGAATTTTGATGCTTACAATTCAGAGT